AAGAATTGAAGCAGGAAACCCATTTTAATAAAGCATCAGCTGAAATTTTAGAATTGAGATGACCACTGTATCAAGTGTTAAGACTGAAATGCCTCCAGAGAGGGCAAAATAAGATTAAGCTGAAATTAACATTGAAGACTTTTAAACCTGTCTTTTATAAAACGTTTAACGAATTCTCCACTAAAGATTTGATTACTGTAATACAATAGTGCGGTCTAGTGAATTCTCCTCTTTTGCCTCATTAGTGTATAGTGACATGTGGATGAGAGATCAGAATAAACTGGAGAAAGCTGTCACACAAGCCAGTAGAATTATTTACAGTAGCCAAATGACTGTCTTTGAATAAAAAGGTTCTGAAGGAAAAAAATAAAAGATAAAGTGAGATGTACATTAAGTCAACTTCTTTATAGCAGGTTGTGTAGATACAGCAGAAGGTGGAACTGCCATCTTTTGCAACACAAACACCACCAGACATGGAAGCTCATTTATTCCTGGTGCAGAATGTGGCCATAATATTGTATAGTGACACTGTCAGAGGAGCACGTCTGCATCTACAATCCCCTAATTGTTCAAATGTACTGAATAACTGTAGAGTTATATGATATATCTTGTAGGATTTCCAGGTGCATTTATTGTATTTTTCTGTACTTGTATGCATATTTCTATTGGTGATGGTTATGAAGCAACAGTGCCAAATGAATTTCAAAGGTTTGGGATAATAAAGGTCTTCTAATCTAAATCTGCAGCTGGTGCAATGAAGACAATTCGGCACAATTCAATTTTGCTATGTAAGAATTGAGATTCAAAGCTGCAACATTTGCAAGGTAGCAAATCTAAATCCAGCTGCAGTCTCTTCCATAGCTAGAATAAAATAACTAGCAGTCTTGACTTTCAAATTGTTTTGACCTTTACAACCTGAACCTGGGCTCCCTGCCAGCTGCGAAGAGGAAGAAGGCAAGATTTTCAGTGAGCAGTGACCTCAGACTGCAGACTTGAGGTCTGAATCATTGCTCTATAAAGGCATCTCACTCATTATCTTTAAAAATTATTAAAATGGATAATCATATGCATGAGATAAAGCTTTATGCACACACTGCACAAAACCATAATTGGACAACCTGGTAAGATCAGAAGATTGCAAAAGTAACGGACCGTGGGCAGCTGGTCCACAGCTGGCTCTTTCTGGCCTGTCCTCTAAGCTACGGAAGAGTTTGTACTCTGTTAGTGCAAAATAAAGGCTCTAGTGTTTCATCATCATTAAAGGTTTTCAAAACAACCTCCCACCGTGTGTTACAACAGTGCACATGAAAACAGGCCATAAATTCAAAAGAAAAAAAAACATTTTAAGTATTTTTTTATTCTGGGGACTAACTACATTTGTTCTTAATTCCACTTGAACTGTATGCTCCTGTTCCACCCAATACTATACTCATCCCAGAAGAGGGAAACCGAAGACTTTCAGTCTTTACAAGTTCAATACTCATCAGAAAGGTTTCTACTGTTCTGAGCACAATCTCATTGTCTCAAATAAAAGGCTCTTCACTCCAGACTTATCCGCTTCAGGGGCATGTTGGCCTGGAGTCTATCCCGGGAAGCTATGGGAACAAGGCAGGATACTCGCTGGAAAGGACACCAATCCACTGCAGGGCAGCCACACAGATGCACACTCATACCAGGTCCTTTGGCCTGAAGGAGGAAACCAGAGCACCTGGAGGATAGCTACTTGAACACAGGGAGAACATGCAAACTCCACACAGACAGCACCCCAGGAAATGAACCCAGAGCCACAGTGCTGTGATACTGCGATGCTGACCTCTGTGCCACCGTGCCATCTGCAAGAACACATTTCAGCTGTGAATGATAACATTCAGTTACACTGGGTCATCAGATGAATGGGCAGTACTTGTGTACAGCAGTGAAAGGGTCAAATCCGTACTGCCTGTCACCGCACAGACAGTCCATTTATAATTGGAACAGTGGTTAATGAAAAAACAGCCAGGATTAAACACGTACACATAAAACTCAGTCATTTTAAACAAAGGGTTAATAAATATCTTAGACAAGAACCATGACACACAATTTAGAGAGAAAGTAACTGGTTTAGAACAAACTATCCAGCGTTTAGGACATCAAAATGGACTCTCTGGTGTTTCTTTTCACGTGATACAGTCAAGTGGACTGGAAACCTGCCTATAGAAAAAGCTAGGCTCAGATCATCAGATCATCAATGTTCTTGATTAGATGTGAAGTGATTGGATGTGAAAATTGCAGACCACAAGATTTCAACAAGAGCAATACATTCTTTTAGTGTCAACACTGCTAAATCAGCTGTTCTCAGCAGAAATCTCCTTCAGACTCTTTTCGGTAAGAGACCCTGTAGATCGTTTGATTCGAACCCGCCTGAAGGCCAAGCTCTCTCTCGGCCGTCCTCGTCAGTGGCGTCTCTCCCGGATCTTCCAGTCTGCCGGCCGCCTTCGCACGCCGCAGTCAAGAGGGGGCGCCGCGGAGCCCCCCCCGCCGCCACGAGGCCTCAGTCGCTGAACGAGGACTCGCTGCCGGAGCTGCCGTCGTCTTCCTCCCCCGCGCCGGGAGCGCCCGCGTCTGGCACGGCGGCGTCGGGGGTGCTGGAGCAGGGCGAGACGGAGAGGGACAGCAGGGGTTCAGCTCGGCCGTGCACCCGGATCGCGTGCGCGGACTCACGCCCGGGCTCGGGCTCGGGCTCGGCTGCGAGCTCCTACACTGCAGGCGCCAAGGGAGCCTCGAACCCGGGTCCCCAAAACCAGAGACACAGATGTGAATGCTCTGGAGAGCACGGCTCGCCGAGAACGCGAGAGAGAAGGAGCAGAAACTTACTCCAGCAGTGAAGGATCCAGCCCTTCAGAAACCATCTTGTTCTTTATAGCCATGACTGGAACACCCTGAAACAAACACAGCTCATGTTACACTTGGGCAAGCTTACCATCTCCTCCTCCCAGACAGCCCTGTTCATCCTCAAGCTCTCCAATGCACTTCACCCAGCCCTGAGGTGCAGCCCCACCTGGGAGACACACGGCGGCCATGCTGCACCAGCAGCCCCACCTGGGAGACACACAGGGGCCATTCTGCACCGGCAGCCCCACCTGGGAGACACACAGGGGCCATTCTGCACCGGCAGCCCCACCTGGGAGACACACAGGGACCATTCTGCACCGGCAGCCCCACCTGGGAGACACACAGGGGCCATTCTGCACCTGCAGCCCCACCTGGGAGACACACAGGGGCCATTCTGCACCTGCAGCCCCTCCTGGGAGACACACAGGGGCCATTCTGCACCAGCAGCCCCACCTGAGAGACACACAGGGGCCATTCTGCACCAGCAGCCCCACCTGAGAGACACACAGGGGCCATTCTGCACCTGCAGCCCCACCTGGGAGACACACACTCTGCACCAGCAGTTCCAACATGCAGCAGACCAGGTGGAGGAGAAACTGCTTCTCCAGTTAAATTAAGCAGGAACTTTAGGGAGGCAAGATTGTACACATCCGGAGTGGAATTTGCCCCGGATACCCCTGCTTCGAGGAGCAAAGCAATGAGATCAGTAACCGCCCAGCAGTGAGGACCGTGGTTTGATGTCTCATGAGAAGGAAAGTGCCATCTACAGCATAGTGTCAGAGGGTACCGAGGCAGGGTAAATGCTCAAATTTGTATGAATAATTAGTGGAACATGAAAGCGATCTATTAAGGCCAGAGGTCTTCCATTAATGATCTAGATAACAAAATAGTAAACTACTCAAATTTGCAGATCATACCAAATTAGGAAGATCAGCAAACGCAGTAGAAAAACAGAGACAATTAAAAGATATCAAGGCAACAGTAAGACCGCATTTCAACACAATCTTACAGTAAAATAGTAAAACTACTGTTATTGCAGTGTGTACAATTCTGGTCACAAAGATACGATATAGATATTTCTGCTCTGGAATCAGGAAAGCACCCGATGCATTCCTTCAAAATCCTTCAAAGTCAACCCAGCTGGCTTCACCATTGAATTTGTATAACGTACTTCCCAAGGCCTCAATTACAATATCAAATCATTCAGGTCAGCGTCTCTTAGAAGAGAACTGTCAAAGCCCACATCCGCGCCGATTCAGCGGTCGACGCCACTGTCCTTCCGCGAGAGCCTGTTTCATCGCCGCCTTAACCTGCTCTCCATTAGCTTCACCACGTTCGAATGACAGGACGCAGCACAGGGCTTTTGCACTGACCCCCCGTTCCATTTACAAGCCCCTTTAATGATTAAAAGCTGAAGGTCTGCAAAAAGGGTCAAGACAAAGCAATTGAACACATTCGTGCCATCAGGTCTTCCTGAGGGCCCCGTACCGCGAGATCCCGAATACACCGCCGGTCCGGAGCGCTGGAGATACGCACCAGGGGCCTACAAACTCCTAACTATGAGAGCCGGCCGGAGCTGCTGACTTTCAAGGCGGAACCTCACGCCCAGGGCGCAGCAGGAAATACTCACCACCTGCACCATCTTCAGGTACCTGGCGTACCGCGGGTCCTTGGCAACGGTCAGGACGTCGTCGCCGGCGGCTCCCGAGCGCGGCTGCTCCGCTGCTTCCGGCGGCCTCTGCTGGGGCTGGGAGAAAAGAGCCGGGACGTCCATTGTGTGAACACGAAACGGAAGGACTTTTAAAAAGGTCCTGCTCCGTTCACTTGAGTGCTACGATGCGCGTCTCGGCGGCGAGGAGAAAGGGGCACAGAGAGGCGAGGAGGTTAGTCGTAGCCCACTTCCAGGAATGGGGGATCACCCTTCGGGGTCTGGAAGTGATGCCTGCCCTTCTGTCGTTCACAGCCGGCCAGCTGTTTGCTCTCTAGAGATCTCAGAAACAAAACTAACTAACAAACCCCCAAAATGTCCTCTAAACGATTTTGAATCCTACTGGAAAGAATGAAAACAAGAAGTCAGAACAAACAAAATCAGGAAGAGAGTTTTGGGGTGAGTCCAGCTTTTGGGGTCACCCCTCGGGCAGCGGTCACCTCAGTGGGGGCCGGGACTGCCGAAGACGGGGCCTGCACTGGCGTGGACACTGGACCGTTGGGCTCCGACACCTGTCTCTGAGCGGACCTCTCCACCCTCACGTCTTCCAGACCAGGAATAGAGGAGAGCTAATAGGGGAAA